GGGCGGAGCCTGGGCTTCCCTGGGGAAGCCTGTTGGTCTCCCCGCTTAGCTGACTCAGGAACTCCAGATGTGCGGGTGCTCTGCCCCTCGGGGGGTGCCCCCAGGCCGCACAGATCTCAGCATTCTTCCCCCACCCCCCATTGGCCCTCAGGTGTGCGTGCCTCAGCCCTCAGGTGTGCCTTCACCTGTGCCAGGTGCTTCACTGCAGGCTGAGTGGGTAACAAAAGCCTCAAGGCCCCTGAGGGGCAGGAGCGCAGGGCACCTCTTCTGGATGCTGGGGGCAGGACGGGGCAGCAGCCAGGCTGGGCCCATGTGCCACAGGGCTGCGGGGCCAGGAGTCGTGTGACCAGAGCCCTTGGTGTCCTGGAAATGGGACGGGAGGTGTCTGTGATTTGCTGGTCTGTGTTTTCTTTCCGTGAAGCGTGGTTCAGAGCCTGGGCCCACGGCGGCCACACGTTATTAGGGTTACACTTACATTTGCGTGTTCTTACTCTAAAGAGAACTATGTTGTCTAAACCCAAGAATTTTATTTTAAATAAATGTAGCCGGAGTTTAACAATGGCCGTTGGTGGATCGGCCAGCTGTCCACCACACCCGCTGCCCTGGCGCGGCTGCCCCTGTCAGTGTCTCACTGTGTCCTCCCTGGGGCGGAGAGAGGACCTGGGAGGCCCTGGGTGGGGCATCATCGGCGTCTGGGGCTTGAGCGTGTGCAGGGACCTCGTGCACGGTGAACATCTTTGATTTGGGGGTGCAGCACCCCACGCCCTGTCCCACATGCCTCTGCCTGGTTCCCTCCCTCCTGCCACCACCCGGCCCCGCCAGCCCCACCAGCCCTGTGGGCAGCATCTTGGTTCCCCTGGCCCTCGCTGGCCTGCTGGGGGCCCAGGGGGCGTTCTCACCTGGCACAGTTCCTCAGGTGAGGGAGAAGCTGCTACCCTGCGGGTCCCTCCCGCCCGGGCAGAGGGGCTCTGGGAGGGGGAGGGGCAGGCCTGCCTGAGGCCCCACAGCCAGGTCGGAGCCAGCACAGCCCCGTCCCACCGCCCCAGCATCCCAGCGTGCAGAGCAGGTGGAGATGCCTCCTCAGGGGGCTCGCAGGGTGGGTGGCCACGGAGCGCGTGAGGGCTGATGGGACAGTGGTACCCGAGCACACGGAGGCCGTGGGCCCACAGGCAGACCCCGGGGCCACAGGGGTGACCGAAGGACCCTGTGTCCGTGAGCCCCAGGGTGGTGGCTTGGCCAAGGCTCCTGGTGACACCCAGCAGGCACCTGCCCTTAAGTTCTATTTCCTGGTCGTCCTCCCTCCGGAGATGCGGCAGGGAGACAGTTCTCCACTCCATGGTGGAGACGAGAGCGGAGAGCCCAGACGGGGGGCAGTGTCCTGCCCTGGGCACCCCCGGGGCTCCAGGGGAGAAGTGCAGCCCAGCGGCTCCCACTGTCCTGGGGGCTGCAGGCGTCTCCACTTCCCAGCCCTGGGCTCCACCCCTGGGAGGAAGCGCCAGGCAGCACAGCCCCTAGACTCACCAGCCTTAGGAGTCGAGCGCCACCTCCCTGCCCGGGCCCCCTCCCTCCTGCTGCCGTCCATGCCCGGCCGCCCTCTGCCCTGCCCGGGGCCTGAGCTCCTCCCCCAGCTCATGCTGTCTCCCAGTGGTGCGGAGCTGGGATTCGCCAGGCCTGTGGGACCCAGCACCCACACTCCTGACGGCTTTGCTGCCCTTTGGGGAACAGTCAGCCTCGGGGGCCCCAGCACGGGGAGTGCCACCTCCCCCAGGGCCCCACACCCTGGCGCTGGCTCCCTGGGCCCTTCGGCTGCCACAGCTGGGGGAAGGTGGAGCCCCCGGCCGGCCGGAGGCTCTCCCACTCTCATCCTGCCTCTGCCGGGCCTCTGCACTTCCCTCCGGCACCCAAGGCTTTCCGGAGACAAGCCGTAGGTCGGAGAGGACCCTCCCGGAGACCCCACAGTCCCTGAGCTGAGCAGGTGCAGCGGCGGGTGGGCTGTGCCCCGCATGTGCACTGTTCCCACCCGAGCGGGCGCCTCGTGCCCAGCTCCACAGGCCGAGCGATGGGTCTCCTGCGCTCTCGGGGTCAGGCAGGCAGGAGAAAAGCTGCCTTCGCCCTAAAAGGAACACGCCAGAAAGGGCCGGGCCGGCCACACCAGGCAATGTCCGAGCCACCCCGGCCCCGGCTTGGGAGATTCGGATGAGGTGGAGCTGCGAGGTGCCTGGGAATCGTATTTTTAAAGCTCCCAGATGGTCTGGAAACCCCCAGGTGGAAGTGCAGGAGCCCTGGGGTGGGGCTGCAGCTGGGGCGTCTTCCGTCCCCTCGTCTGTCCCCCACGGGGGCCTGGACTGGGCCACAGACTCCTGGGCTGGGTGGGGGGCGTGGAGACCAGAGCTGAGTGCTCACGGGACCCCGTGGCCCTCTGCTCTGAGCCCTGTCTGTGGCAGCTCACAGATCAGGACACGGGCTGGGTGTGGCGGGGACTTGCCCTCCCAGGCTCCTGGTGGTCACCAGGCTCTGCCTCCGGAGCTCTGGGGGCCCCCAGGGCCTTCCTCCTCTGCTGTTCCCGGACGCACGGCAGGGTGGGCAGGGGGTGTGCAGGGGGTCGAGGCCCAGCCTTTGGGAGGTGTGACCGAAGCCCAGGAGTTTGGGTAAGGGGCCCAGTGCAGCCGGCTGCGGTGCATGTGGAGCGAACGGGCAACGGACGGCGTGGAGGCTCTCGGCATGGGGGCTGGTGCGGGTGCTCGGCCTCTTTATTGAGGGACACGGGGTTTGTTCTCGTAGACTGCAGTGTGGCGGGGAGGGCGGGTCTGTGGCCGGAGGCGCTGGGGCTGTGCCATCGCTGCTGGGCGGTCCCGGGGACCCCGGACTCCACCAGCACCGTGCGCACAGCTCCGGGTGGCTTCCAGAGTCACGTCACCACACGGCAAGTGCTCGGTGGCCGGGTGGGGCGTCACAGTGGCTTGTCTGGGGTGTGGACAGGTGGCCCCGCTGACACCAAGTGTGTAGGTGGGAACATAAAGCTACACCAAAAAGTGGACTTCGGGTCCCAGCTGCAGACACCCCCGGGGGGCCCCCACCAGCCTGGGCTGGGGAGGGGGGAGTCTTCTCATCCGCCTCCATCCCAGCACAGCTTCCGCCCTCTGTGGCCTGAGTCCTCCGGGACAGACGGGCTCCAAAAGGGCACAGGGTCATGCCTGCGTCTTAGATGGGGAAATGAGTTGAGGTTCAGAGGAATGCGGCCTCGTCCAGTGCCCAGGTCTGGGGAGGGGTTGAGGCTGGACTGTCCGGCCCCGAGTGCAAGGTCTTGCTCAGAAGCCCGTGCCCAGCCCCAGGGGCCTTAGGGTTAGGTAGACTCTGAGCCACTCTCGGGGCAGGGGTGAGGGCTGTGCGAGCTGGACCCTCGGGGTGGGTGAAGCCCCACTGCCCAGAGCAGACCCCGAGAGAGAGCTCGGGGTGGAGGAAGCCCTCTCGCTGCACGTGCGCCTGGGGTCCACAGGCCTCCAGCACTGGGGCGCGGCCGGCCTGACCACCCCGCTTGTGGGAGGGGAGGTGTGTCAGGAAGCTTAGCTCCTGGGCCTGACTGCCCGGCCCGGTGCGTGGTGAGCTGAGGGGTCTCCTCCCAGCCAGGTCTCTGAGTCCTGAGCCCACGCTGCCCGGCCAGCACCCCCTTCCCTTCTCAGCAGATGCTGGTCCAGGGCAGTAAACACCTGCGTTACCAAGGACCCAGCTTCCCTCCCGCCTGCCTCATCCCGAGACCTGCTTCTCCTGGGCTCAGGCGACCTCTGGAGCCAGGCCAGTCCCGCCCGTTTGGAGACGGCTCCTGAGACCAAGCAGGCGCCGCCTTTCCAGGCGCCAGGCCAGGCTGCTGGCGGGTGACAGATGAGTCTGCCGCGGCCTGGGGCTGCCGGCCAGCTGGTGCCTGGACGCACAGCTCCCCGCTTACCTGTGGCCCGGGTCCCCGGACCTGGCGTCTTGCTCGGGGACTGGATGCCAGCGCCTGCGGCCCGTGTCTGCCCTTCTCAGGGCACCCTCCAGCAGCCGAGGGGGCCTCTGCCCTCATTGCAGTAGAGCACAGGGGCGCTCACCTGTCCTGGCCAAGGCCACCTGGGCAGGTGGGGGGCCAGCGCTGCCCACCCAGAATTCCCTCCGCTGAGCTGGAGGTGCTGAGGCCGGGGCCCCCCAGCACGGCGTCCCCGCAGATCCCCCGGCCCTGGCTGGCGAGGACAGGTGGGCGGAGAGGCCAGGGCCTGGGTGAGCCCAGGCCAGCCCCTATGTGTCCTTCTTGGGTATGTGGCGCCTGCCCCCTCTGTGGGCCACGGCTGCGGGGGCCAGGGTTCTGGGGGGGATTCTCCGCCCCCAGCAGTGGGTCCTGAGCCCGGCCAGGCCTCAAGGGGGTCAGGGGCTCCCTTGGAACTGCCCTGGGGAGGCAGCAAGCTGGCTGGTCCCAGGAGGGCCTGGGTTCGAGGCCCAAAGCCTGGAGCTGGGCAGAGGCGGTGGAGGCTGAGAAGGAGCCCGGGGCCCCCAGCCCTCTCCAGGTCCATCCAGTGGGCGGGACGGCCCAGGTCCTCGGAGACACCGTCACCGGAGACAGCCGCCCGGCCGCCGGGGCCCAGCCCCTACCGGCGCCTTTCATTTTCTTCTCTCTAGACATCCATTAGACTGGAACAAAGCAACTGCCTGTCCCCGAACACTAATTTCTCCTTGTTAAAGGCCCTTTCTGGATCCGGGAGAGGAGCAATCTCTTGTTCTGGCTTCAAAGAGGAGAGGGGGAGGGAGGAGAAGGGGAGGGGAGAAGGGAGAAGGGAGGGGGAGGAGAGGAGGGAAGAAGGAGGGAGGGAGAGGGAGGAGGGGGAGAGGGAGAGGAGGAGAGGGGAGAGGGAGGAAGAGGGGAGGGAGAAGGATGGGAGAGGGAGAGAGGAGGGGGAGATGGAGACGGGAGAGGGAGAGGGAGAAGAGGGGAGAGGGAGGGGGAGGGGTGGGGGTAGGGAGAGCTAGGGGCCTCTGGGGCGAGTGTGGGGTCCCAGGCCTCCTCGGGCCACCGCCCCAGCTGGCCTCTGGGGGCCCCCACCGCGGCCGGGTGCCCCTGTGAGCGGGGGCCGCAGGCGCTAGGACAGCGTCTCCCGAGTGGCGTTGCTGGAGAAGGTGTGGTTGCTGGACACGCTGTTGGCCTTCCTGGGGAACGCCGGCCGCCGGCGCCTGCGCGGCCCCAGCGGACAGAGGCAGGCCAGCGTGGACAGGAAGATGTGTCGGAAGTTGGCAGAGACGAGGTTGTACAGGATGGGGTTGACGGTGGAGCTGACGTAGAAGAGGGCGTTGGTCAGCATGTAGAAGTAGTGGTAGAAGTCGTAGAGGAACCTGGGCGGGGGGGGGGGGGGAGAGGCGCTTAGACCCCACCAGGCCCGGCGGGACTCGCGGGGACCCCAGGCAGGGTCCCCAGAGTGACGGCCGAGGCCGAGGGTGGCCGGCCGTGGTGGCCCGGCCACTAATTAAAAGCTACGTGAGAAGTTTTTTGTTTTTTGTTTTTTTGAGACAGAGTCTCACTCTGTTGCCTGGGCTAGAGTGCCGTGGCGTCAGCCTAGCTCACAGCAACCTCACACTCCTGGGCTCAAGCGATCCTCCTGTCTCAGCCTCCCGAGTAGCTGAGACTACAGGCATGCACCACCATGCCCGGATAATTTTTTCTATATATTTTTAGTTGGCCAATTAATTTCTTTCTATTTTTAGTAGAAATGGGGTCTTGCTTTTGCTCAAGCTGGTCTCGAAACTCCTGACCTTGAGCAATCCTCCCGCCTAGGGCTCCCAGAGTGCTAGGATTGCAGGCGTGAGCCACCGTGCCCGGCCTACGTGGGAAGTTTCTACACGGATATTCCATGAAGAATTGCGGGGTCTGGTTTCATGATGAATTCCGGGGTCTGGCTTCTCCCAAGGAGTTAGAAGTCCTGGCTGCCCTCTTGTGGCACCAGCCTTCTGCTCCCGCCCTGCTCTGCCCGGGGCACCTCTCGCGGCAGCCACCTGACTGCCCTTAGGGTCCTGAGCATCCGGGGGTGGAGGGCTTGCTGGTCCCCCACCTAACAGAGCAGCCAGGGCTCCAGCCTCCCCAGCCTCTGGGACGGCCGTGGGCCCCAACCCCAGTCTGCTCCCCGCCAGCCATGGGTCTCGCTCTCCTGCCGGGTGGTTCTGTCCCCCATGGGGTAGCCCCGAGTTTCAGAAACCTTCTTTCGGGCTGTGCTCTGCTCCCTGTGCCTGCTCTGGCCACGGGTCACTGTGGGGAACCCGTCACCCGGATCTGGCAGCCTGGCAGGGTTTGTGCCGAACACCCGCTCTCCCTGCCGGGAGCCCAGATGGGTGCCCCCGTGACCAGCCCCCGAGTCGTCCCGTGAGATGGCCCCAGGAGGGACTCTGGGACCCTTGTCTGCCCCCCCCACTTCACCCCAACTTCACCCCAAGCATTGTCCCCTTTGCAGGCTTTGCCAAGTGTCCTTTTGCTGTAGGAGGTCAGGGCCCTGAGCGTGGCTCCAGGCTGAGTCCTGGGAGTCCAACCTGGGGAGGCCTTGGGCCCCGACAACTGCCACGGACTGAGCAGAGGCCCCCATTTCCTAGTGGAGCCCCCCCGTCTCTCTTCGGGCCTCAGGGAAGCTGCCTGGGGCACCGAGTCTCTCAGGACCGATTTTCCCGTCCTGCTCCGGCCTGTCCTGCAGAGCACATGCCCGCCCTGTCCCCCCACAGCCCCCCGTCAGGGCACACCCACTGCCCAACAGCCTCACAGATGCCTGAGGGGCCGCGGGGGACCCACCGAACCCAGGCCCTGCTCTGGCCTCAGCAGCAACCCGCCCCAGCCCCCCCCCCCGTTCTGGGCTCACCCCCCACCCCACCCCCAGCCTCCCCGCACTCACGGAGTCCACTGCTCGTCCGAAATGTAGCAGAACATGAGGCGCCGCACGTGGTAGGGCAGCCAGCAGACCACGAAGGCGATGACCACGGCACCTGCGGCACAGAGACTCAGGCTCAGAGACAGAGAGACACAGGCCTTGGGGAGACACGGGGAGAGGTCCCACGTTCCTGGATGGCAGGACTCAACATTGCTACGGCGTCGACACCACCCCAGGCCAGCCACAGACTCAATACAACCCCAATCAAGTCCCAGTGACGTCTTCTGCGGAAATAGAAAAATCCGCCCTAAAATTCACACGGAAGCTCAAAGGATGGTGGACAGCTAACACAGTCTTGTCAGAGAAGCGTGAGGGTGGAGGTCTCACGCGCCCTGACTGCACGCCCGCTGCGCGGTGACAGTGACGTGCCGCACAGAGACACACGTGCAGCCCAGCAGAGCGTGTGGCTGTGGCCTCGCGCGGGGGCCGAGGCCATTCTCTGGGGGAACCGTCTCTAACAAAGGCCGTTGGGAAAACTGGACACCACTCGCGAAAGCCTGACGTCGGGCTAACACCTCGCACAGACATTCACTCACGCTGGGCGAGAGACCTAAACCTGAGACTGACGCTGTGAAACTCCTAGAGGAAAACACGAAATAAAAGCGTCACGACGTTGAATTTGGCAATGATTTCTTGGCCATGACACCAAGAGCCCAGGTCCCCAAAGAAAAAAATAGATAAATTGAACTACGTAAAAATTTAAAACTTCTGTGTACCAAAGGACATTTTTTTTTTTTTGCGACAGATTCTTGTGCTGTCACTTGGGCTAGAGTGTAGTGGCATCATCCTAGCTCGCAGTGACCTCAAACTCCTGGCTGAAGCCTTCCGCCTCAACCTCCCCCAGTAGCTGGGGCTACAGGTGTGTGCCACCACGCCAGGCTAAGTTTTTTCTATTTTACTAGAGCCGGGGTCTTGCTCTTGCTCACGCTGGTTTCAAACTCCTGAGCTCAAGCAATCCTCCTGCCTCGGCCTCCCAGAGTGCTGGGATGACAGGCGTGAGCCACCACGCCCAGCCCAAAGGACATAATTAGCAGAGTGCGTCAACTCACAGAGAGGGAGAAAATATTTGCAAATCACCTATCTGACAAGGGGTTGGCACGCAGAGTACACAGAGAACTCCTAAAACCCAACAACATAACAACAAACAGCCCGATTCAAACACGGGCAAAGGACTTCATAGACGTTTCTCCAAAGAAGATATAAATAGCCCACAAGCGCAGGAAAAGATGTTCAACATCGTTAGTCACGGGAGGAATCAAAGCCCAGCGGGTCACCAGCTCCAGTCCACAAGGGTGGCCGCCGAGGCCAGGGCTGGCGAGGGCGTGGGGGGGCGGAGGAACCGAACCCCTGGTGCTGTCGGGGGGATGCACAGCGGTGGGGCTGCTGTGGAACACAGGGTGACACTTTCTTAGAAAATTAAACACAGAATTGCCACATGATCCAGCAATTCCCCCTCTGGGTGCGTGCGGGAAACAATCCAAAGCAGGTCTTGGAGACATCCGCTAGCCGCGTGCCTGGCAGCGACATTCAGGACCGTCAAGAGGGGGAAGCGAGGAGGGACAAGCGGATGAGCAAATGTGGGACAAACACACAGCGGGACGTCACTCAGCTCACAGGGAAGGAACCTCCGGCCCATGCCACGGCGTGCCTGAGCCCTGAGGACATTATAAGCGAACTAGGCCAGACACAGAAGGGCAAATGCCGGGCGGCCCCAGGCACAGGAGGTCTCTAGAGGAGACAGAGCCACAGAGACAGACGGCGGGAGCGGGGGCTGGGAGGGTGGGGAGCGGTGTCTAGTGGGGACGGCCTCGGGTGGGCAAGATGGGAACGCTCTGGAGACGGTGGTGGCAGGGGCTGCACACCACGCCAGTGTGCTTGGTGCCTCTGACCGGCACACTCACAAATGTTAGGGTCGCACACTTTATGCCATGTGTATTTTGCCAAAATTAAATAAACAAAAAACCTGAAAAGGACACTTGGGCAAGCTCCCTCCAAGCACGAGGTCCCAGCGCCCAGTGGTGTGGGGCTTGCCAGGGAGACCGTGGAGGGCAGCACAGCGGTTGGGACCCGGCTCTGGGCTCGGCCCTGTGGCAGGTCGCCGTGCACAGCTGGGCGGGGCCCTTCCGCTTGTTGGCCTCGGTTTCCCTGTCTGTGAGATGCAGGGTGGGACCCTCGGGGTCTTCTGGTTTGAGGCTCATGTGGTCTGAGAAGGAGACTGAAGTCTGGACCCCACTGAGCAAGGGGACCCCCAGGTTCTCTGGGGGCAGAGTGGGAGCCCCTGGAGGCCCAGCAGAGCCCCACGGCGGCTCCCTCCCCATCAGCCCAGGGGCTGCGGGTGGGTTAGTTCCTGACCGGTCAGGCCAGGCGGGGATGGGCGTTCGGACCTCTCGACAACACCACGGGACTCCCAAGCAAATGAAGTCCAGACAGACCGTTTGCAGAGTCTGGGCCGCGGCCCTACTACTCGGTCACTCGTCCTGTGTCTGAAATGCAGATTCCTCCATGTCCTGGTCTCATGGCAGCCCCAGGCTGAGGCAGGGACCAGGGGCCGGGAGCGGAGTGGACCAGCTGGCCCTTGCGGGCCCACAGTGGCGACCCCCGGCCCCAAATCACTGCTTCCTTGGGCGCACCACGGTCCAACGTGGCCAGTGCATGCGTTTGCTGCCTCAGTGGGGCCCCTGCTCCCCCAGAATGCAGGGCTGCCCTCACCTCTGTGGCCCCCACATCTGTGAGCAGATCCAGAGTTGGTGCTCAGTGAACCAGGTGGATATTTGAGTGCGTGAGTGAGTGCGTGAGTGAGAAGATGAATGCATGAATGGATGAATGGATGGATGAGGGAGGATTGGATGGAGAATGGAGGGATGGGGTGGAGGGAGGGGGATGGAAGGACAGGGGTGGAGGGAAGAAGCGAGGATGGAGGAGGGGGTAGAGGGAGGGGGATGGAGGGATGGAGGGAGGGAGGGAAGGATGGAGAGGGGAAGGATGGAAGGGGATGGAGGGAGCGGGAGGGGGGATGGAGGGAGGGAGGAATGGAGGGAAGGAGAGAGGGAGGGGAGGAATGGAAGGAGGGGTATGGAGGGAAGGAGGGAGAATGGAGGGAGGGGAAGGAGGGAGGAGGATGGAGGGGGATGAAGGGAACGAGGAATGGAGGGAGGAGGATGGAGGGGGATAGGGAGGGGGAAGGAGGGAGGGGGATGGAGGGAGGGGGATGGAGGGGGATGAAGGGAGCGAGGAATGGAGGGAAGGAGAGAGGGAGGGGAGGAATAGAAGGAGGGGGATGAAGGGAAGGAGGGGAGGGATGGAAGGAGGGGTATGGAGGGAAGGAGGGAGAATGGAGGGAGGGGAAGGAGGGAGGAGGATGGAGGGAGGGGGATGGAGGGGGATGAAGGGAACGAGGAATGGAGGGAGGAGGATGGAGGGGGATGAAGGGAGCGAGGAATGGAGGGAAGGAGAGAGGGAGGGGAGGAATGGAAGGAGGGGGATGAAGGGAAGGTCCTCCTCTCCATCCTCCTTACCCCTCCATCCCCCTCCCTCCTTCCCCCTCCTCCATCCTCGCTCTTCCCTCCATACCTCTCCTTCCTCTCCTCCTCCTTCCTTCATCCCCCCTTCCATTCCTCCTCCCTCTCTCCTTCCTCCATTCTCGCCTCCCTTCATCCCCTCCATCCCTCCCTCCATCCCCTGACTCCTCCTTCCTCCTCCATCCTCCTCCTTCCCTCATACACTCTCCTTCCATTCCCTCCCTCCCTTCCTCATCCCCCTCCTTCCTTCCATACCCTCCTCTCTCCTTCGCCTCATTTGCCTCGCTCCCTTCTCCCCCTCCCATATTCCTTCTCCTTCCTCTCCACTCCATCTCGTCCATCATCCCTCCTCCTTCTCCCTCCCCTCCCTTCCTCCTCCACTCCCCTTCCCTCCATACCCCTTCCCTCCTTCTCCCCTCCTTCCCTTCATCCCCTCCTTCCATTCCTCCCCTCCCTCCTCCTTCCTTCCATCCCTCCATCCCCTCCTCCATTCCTCCTTCCCTCCATCCCTCCCGCTTCCCTCATCCCTCCATCCTTCCCTCTCCATCCTTCCTCCTCCTCATCCCCATCCCCCTCCCTTACCCCTCCTCCATCCCGTTTTCCCCACCCCTGTCCATTCCATGTCCCCCTCCCCTCCACCCCATCCCTCATTCTCCATCCGATCTCCCTCCATCCATCCATTCATTCCCTTCATGCTTCATCTCTCACTTCACTCACGCACTCACTCCACGCACTCAAATATCACCTGGTTCACTGAGCACCAACTCTGGATCTGTCACAGATGTGGGGGCCACAGAGGTGAGGGCAGCCCCTGCTTCTGGGGGAGCAGGGCCCACTGAGGCAGCAAGCATCACCGGCCACGTTGCACTGTGGTGCGCCCAAGGAAGCAGTGATTTGGGGCGGGGTCGCCGCTGTGGGCCCGCAAGGGCCAGCTGGTCCACTCGCTCCCGGCCCTGGTCCTGCCTCAGCCCTGGGCTGCCAGAGCCCAGGACAGGAGAATCTGCATTCAGACACAAGACGAGTGATCCGATCGTAGTAGCCGCGGGCCCAGACTCTGCAAACGGTCTGTCTACTTCATTTGCTTGGGTCCCGTGGTGTTCGAGAGGTCCGACGCCATCCCCGCTGCCTGACCCGGTCAGGAACTAACCCACCCCGCAGCCCTGGCTGATGGGAAGCCGCCGTGGGGCTTGCTGGGCCTCCAGGGGCCCACTCTGCCCCCAGAGAACCTGGGGTCCCCTTGCTCAGTGGTCCAGACATCCCGTCCCTAGACCACATGAGCCTCAAACCAGGACCCCGAGGTCCACCCTGCATCTCTACAGACGGGAAACACGAGGCAACAAGCGGAAGGGCCCCGCCCAGCTGTGCACGGCGGACTGCCACCAGGGCCGAGCCCAGACCGGGTCCAACACGCTGTGCTGCCTCACGGTTCCCTGCAAGCCCCCACACACTGGCGGCGTGGGACCTCGGTTCTGGAGGGAGCTTGCCCAAGTGTCCTTTTCAGGTTTTTTTGGTTTATTTAATTTTGGCAAAATACACATGGCAAAAGTGTGCGACCCCTAACTTTTGAGGTGCCGGTCAGAGGCACAAGCACACTGCGTGGGTGCAGCCGCCTCCACCCACCGTCTCCAGAGCGTTCCCATTCTTGCCCACCCGGCGTCCCACTAGACAATCCGCTCCCACCCTCCCACCCCCGCTCCCGCCGTCTGTCTCTGTGCTCTGGTCTCCCTCTAGAGAGCCTCCTGTGCCGGGGCCGCCCGGCATTTGCCCTTTCTGTGTCTGGCCTAGTTCGCTAATATATGTCTCAGGCTCAGGCACGCCGTGGCATGGGCCGGAGGTTCCTTCCCTGTGAAGCTGAGTGACGTCCCGCTGTTGTGTTTGTCCCACATTTGCTCATACGCGCTTGTCGCCTCCTCGCTTCCCCTCTTCGACGGGTCGCTGAATGTCGCTGCCAGGCCAGCGCTAGCGGATGGTTCCAAGACCTGCTTTGGATTGTTCCTCCTGCACCACCCGAGGGGGAATGCTGGATCATGGTGGCAATTCTGTGTTTAGTTTTCTAAGAAAGTGTCCAACCCTGTGTTCCACAGCAGCCCCACCGCTGTGCATCCCCCCGACAGCACCAGGGTTCGATTCTCCGCCCCCACGCCCGTCCGCCAGCCCTGGCTCGGCGGCCACCCTTGTGGTACTGGAGCTGGTGACCCGCTGGGCTTTGATTCTCTCCCGTGACTAACGATGTTGAACATCTTTTTCCTGCCGCGTTGTGGGCTATGTTAATATCTTCTTTGGAGAAACGTACTATGAAGTCCCTTTGCCCCGTGTTTGAATTTCGGGCTGTTTTTGTTATGTTGTTGGGTTTTAGGAGGTTCTCTGTGGTACTCTGGCGTGCCACCCTTGTCAGATAGGTGATTTGAAATATTTTCTCCTCTCTGTGAGTTGACGCACTCTGCTAATTATGTCCTATTGGGCCTGGGCGTGCAGTGCTTCACGCCTGTCATACCCAGGCATCTGGGAGGCCGAGGAGGAAGGATTGCTTGGCTCAGGATTTGAAACCAGCGATGAGCAAGAACAGACCCGGCTCTAGTAAAATAGAAAAAAAAAAAACTTAGGCGCTGGCGTGGTGGCACACACCTGTAGCCCCAGCTACTGTGGGGGAGTTTGAGGCAAGAGGCTCAGCCAGGAGTTTGAGGCACTCGACGCTAGGATGATGCCACTACACTCCTAGCCCAAGTGACAGGGCAACAAGAATCTGCGCAAAAAAAAAAAAAAATGTTCCTTTGGTACACAGAAGTTTTAATTTTTACGTAGTTCAATTATCTTTTTTTTCTTTGGGACCTGGGGGTCTTGGTGTCCATGGCCAAGTAAAACCATTGCCAAATTTCAACGTCGTGACGCTTTTATTTCGTGTTTTTCTCATAGGAGTTTCACAGGTGTCAAGCCTCAGGTTTTAAGGTCTCTCGCCCATCGTGAGTGAATGCTTGCGAGGCTGTTACCCCGAACGTCAGGCTTTCGGGAGTGTGTTCCAGT